AATAAAATATCCAGTCCTTAAGCATCATTACTGCAAGGCTTCATCACTTCCCTCTCTCATTATTTGTATTCATCATTTCAAAGCAACTTATTCAATCCACATATATAGTTTAAAACTCATTATGACTGATATACTCTCAAATTCATAATAATGAAGGGGAACAGATGACAAATTCCTTTTTTAGAATTTTCTGCTCACTAGGTGAAACAGGAATAAAATATAGAAAAATTCACTTACTAACACATATGTTAGTGGGACAATGTCAGAGTTCAGTGAGGATTAATACCTATGGTACTCTTCAGATTTGTACTCTGGTTTAATTGAAAATAAGAGAAAATCACATTTTAAGCTTAGGGTCTCAATCTACAAGGTTCCAGCCCTTGCTTTCTTGCAATTCTTCCTGTAAAACTGCTACCCACTATCTAGGAATGCCAAGAAATGTGAAAATGAAACCCTTCTTTGAGTTTCTTTTTTTCCTAGCAAGTTTTAAGTCTTAACTTACTTTGACGAAAAAGAAACCTATCTCTTGGGTAGGACCTTTGAAAGAGTTACACTGCTCATCACACTAACTTGGCAAGTCTTTCCTGTGAGAAGAAATCTTACCTACAAATTCATCCCTACTACCTACTGCCACTGTATGCCTACCCTGGGTGATCGCAATGTGGAAGTAGAGATCAAAGGAGACCTTCAATATGACTGACGGTCAGCCAAAGGCTTACTCTCTGTAACTTGGGCCATTAATTGTCATTTAATAAACTTGTGCAACTGCATTAAAGCAGAAAACCACCCCTACCTCAGCACACACAAAAAAGTTTCTATATCATGCACTTATGCAAAGCATGTACACCTATGTCAAAATTCATTCTGGCCAAGCATAGTGGCTCATACCTGTAATCCCAGCACTTTGGGAGGCAAAGGTGAGTGGATCGCTTGAGCCCAGGAGTTTGAGACCAGCCTGGGCAACATGGCGAAATCCCATTTCTACAAAAAAAATAGAAAAATTAACTGGGTGTGCTGGTGTGCACCTGTAGTCCCAGCTACTCAGGAGGCTGAGGTGGGAGGATCATTAGAGCCTGAGAGGTCAAAACTGCAGTGAGATATGATCACACCACTGCACTTTAGCCTGGGTGACTGCAAGAATCTATCTCAAAAAAAATTTTTTTTTTATTCTGGTCCCAGCTGAGGTTCAGTAGCACTGGCTTTGGGCAATATTATTATTTGTTTACTTGTTTTATATTTCCTCTTTTCCTCCCGTTATCCTCCTTTACAACTTGTGGCTCCTAGACATTCTCCTGCTATCAACACAGTTACGAATGTGCTCTATGGACTACCTGACTATACTTTATATAAAGGCAAAGTAAATAAAATATTAGTAAATCTATTAATAACTGATCACAAAAATAAGTAAATGATGTAGTTTGAATGTATGTCCCCACCAAATCCCATGTTACACTGTAATCTCCGATGTTGGGGATGGGGCCTGATGGGAGGTTTGGGATCATGGGGGTGGATCCCGCATGAATGGCTTGGGCTATCCCCTTGGTGATGAGTGAGCTCTTGCTCTGAGTTCACAGGATATCTGGTCATTTAAAAGTGTGTGGTACCTTCCCCCCAACCCCTCCCTCTTGCTTTCCACTGTATGATGTGCCTACCTCTCGCTTTGCCCAGGAGCCAAGTGATGTTGGCACCATGCTTGTATAGCCTGCAGAACTGTGAGCCAATTGAATCTCTTCTCTTTATAAATTATACAGTCTCAAGTATTTCTTTATAGCAATGCAAGAATGGATTAAACACAGTAAAAGCTAACTACTTGTCTACTTGTTATAAATGTCAAAGAGACTTTTGGTAAATTCCAATATTCATTTCCAATTTAAAGGAAAAAAAGGCTCAATAAATTAGGAATAACAAGGTATTTTATATTGTGATTATAAATACTTATCTCAAGTAAATGATCAAAATCGTCCTTAAAGAGTAAATAAAACACTAGAGATATCCCCATAAAAGTAAAGTATGCAGTAAGAACACCTGTTAGTGCTACTAGTCTAACACTATTTTCTCATTTTTTAGCCTAAGGATTTTTCAAATAGACGTAGGGAGATCCAATACAATAAAAGAGGAAAAAGAAAATCTTTCCTGAAAGGCACAAGAGGGATATGCTATGTTAATGGCTGGGAGGACTCAATGTTTTGTTTTTGTTTTTGTTGTAGAGACAGGGGTCTTGCTTTGTTGCCCAGGCTGCTCTTGAACTCCTGGCCTGAGGTGATCCTCTGTCTTGGCCTCACAAAGTGCTGGGATTACAGGCATGTGCCACCACACCTGGTCTCAGTGTCATAAAACATAAATTCTTCCAAAGCTGATTTATAAATTAAATGTATCTTGAAACACAAATAATTGATCAACTGACTGGGGAAGTTCAGATCTCTAAACTCATATAAAACTTTTAAACACACAAATAAAACATGGTCAACATATAAACTCACAGTGCATAAAAAGTTCACTCAGTTAATCAAATGCAAGTTAAAATGAGATGGCTTTTTAAAAAAATCAAATTGGAAAGTATGCAGAAGGAAAAACAATACTCAAGCCAAGGAAATAGGTACTCTGACTCAGCAGTTCTACTTTCAGGAACAATCAAAGCTATAGTTATTTATATATTATAATATGATTATAATATATGATTAACATTTATATGTAAAGATGTTCGTCACAGTGTTATAAATAATATCACCAAAGTCAACATAACATACAATAGCAGAAGACTGGCTTAATAAATTTAAAATATGAACATATAATGAAATACTACGTAGCCATCAAAATTATGTTTTAGTGACATGGGGAAATTATTCATAATAATGTGTATTATGTTTTCAAATGTAACAAACCAAGGTACTTAGTGTAAAATGGTACATTTGCATTCACAAGAAGAAAAAAAGACTAAGAAAATACACAATGCAAGAAATCAGTGTATAAGAAAATAAATAATACTTTAAAATTTTATGTTTTACAATAATTTCTATTTATTCATTCACTCATCTTCCAACCTCCTTAGGGTTGCAGGTGGCAGGGCCTATCCTAGGAAATCAGAGGGCAAGGCAGGAGCCGACATTGCCAAGGTGTCCTCACACACATAAACACTCATACTCACTCACAGTCTGGACAATCTGGACATGTCAATTCACTTAACGTGCACAGCTTTGGGATGTGGGAGGAAACCCAGAGAAAACCCATGCAGGCATGGGGGAACATTCAAAGTCCACAGAAGCAGTGCTCCTAGCTGGGAATTAATTTTTTTTCTCATCAACATTACAACAAAACAACACTGAATGAAATGATGTTATTGAAGGGCATGCTGTACACAAATCACTTTCAGTGAAAAGCTCTGGGTACTGAGATCATATGCAATATTTATTTTATTCTGTATGCTTTCATAAATTTTTCACATTTCCTTGGATAAAAACATATTAGCTTTATATTCAAAAATAACAAATGTTATCTCAAAGAGATCATCTCAATTTTAAATTTCTGCTCTGAAGTCACTAGGGGCTAAAAACCCAGAAAATGACTTAAATTAGAATGACAACATTTTTAATACAAACAATGATGTGTATAAATGTTAAAAACCACTGTTTACTACAATAACTTCATTCTTATACCAACCACTACAGAGGTGGCAACCAATAAGGTAAGTAATAGCATATGGTTTGTCATAAAATAACTATACAGGGCTAGAAAAGGGTGGGTACAAATGATTAAAGGAGAAGATCAAAGTTTGTCAAACCAGAAAGATCTGTTTTGACTTAGTTTTTATTTTTAGCTTTGATATAAACAAATTTTACATAGTTTACTATACAATAACTTTACGTTTTGCTTTGTGGTCTATTTTATATTTATATTTACATACACATATGCATAAATGTATGTGTATAATTAGTATTTAATAATCTAAATAATTTTTACTATCCAAACAAATAAACACAGACTTCAAAATTTAAACACAATAATGTGTTTTTGAAGAAACTGACTCAGATAATAATCTATGTAGTTATTATCAGGTACATTTAAAAATAGTTCCTACATTATTTTAGCACCAAATAGACACTGGGCTATAATATTTAACACCTAAACATTAAAACATCATTCAAACAAACTTAACTTCAGAATTTAAAAAAAGACCATCAACATACCCAAATTAATTACAACTATTTACTTTTAAAATTCACCTGATGAACGTTAAACTCATCTAATAAAAAAGAACAAACTAATCAAATTTAAAGAAAGTCCAGGATAGAATAAAATTCGCAAATTATTATATTTATTAAGTATATGCTTTTCTGACAGGCCATAACAAAATATAATCTAAGTTATGAAAATCACTATATCACAATGAGACTCTCTACTGAAGACTATAAATTTACTTACGCACTGGCACAATATAGTTTACCCAAAACCATGCTGGGGTGGATGACAGGAGATGCCCGGTCTTCCAAGATGCATAAGATTCTGAATATGGGATACTCCCTTAATTTACGGGATATAAAAGACTTAAGTGATTCCTGGAACTAGATATCCTTGAATATTTGTGTCCCCAACACACAAGGCTTCCTTCAGATAACTCATGCTTTCCCTTTTATAATATTTATATACAGTAATTATATCCTTGATATAATTAGGGGGAACCTCAATTTGGTCATCAGAGCCTTTTAATACCTAAAATCCCTTAATTTTTTCTTTAATAAGGAAAGTATTCCCTGGGCTCAGAGTAGTCTGTGAATCACTGCAAAAGGTGAACTCATCAAAAAGCTAGTCTGAAGTGTTACCAGGGAACAGTAGGCAGCAAACATTCAAACCCAGAAATTGTGACTCAACATTTCCCATATAACTAAACCATTCTGCATAAATGACAGACCTTGTCAACAAGGCTTTTGCCTGAAAAGATCTAAAATGAAGAGATCAACTGATAAGAAGGTAAGATGTCTGACTATATTAATATCAATACTTACGTATCATACCTCTGCAGTGGTGTCACTTTGTTCTTATTTTTATCAACTGAACCCGTAGATAGCTGAAGAAAATTGGGATTTAATTTATATAACTCTTGAAGTAGCTTCTGTTCATATTCTTGGTGTTTACCTGCCTAATGAAAGAAATTAAAACTGCAGTGGGATTCACAAAATGGCTGGTATAAAATACTGAATAATCTTCTTATTAAACATATTCTAAATAAAACAAGATATTTTTAAATAAAACATTAAATAAAATTTAAATAAATTTTTAAATAAAATAAGAGACGTCTGTGAGGTTACAACAAAACTTCTAGATCAATGAAAGTCATTCCAACAAAATTAATGATATATACCCCATAAATTAAGGCATTTCATCAACCCACTTATTGTACAGAAAAGCATATTAAGGCGAGAACATTTCGCTAGCTCAAAAAGTGTAAGGTCCACTTTAAACCTACTTCCAAGTCTTTCATGTAAGTATTAAGTCTTGTAACAGGTCATTACTGAGTTTTCTGAAAAGCAGCAAAAATTCATCAAATGACCTCCTTTTTAATTTGGAGATTAACAGTTGAAGTAATACACAGATGAACAGTTTTTACTATATTCTTCATTATCTTGACACTAAGTAAAACTTGCATTAATTAGTTTTTACTTTCTCTTTTCTTTCTCTGTGGTTATCAAAAGTAAAATAAAAATGAATGTATTTTAAACTCTAGACCCAGGGTCAGCAATTTACAGCCAGTTGCCTATTTTTGTAAATAAAGTTTTATTGGAACACTGTCATGCTACTCATTTACATACTGTATTTGGCTGCCATTCTGCTACAAAGGCAGAGTGCAGTAGTGTAGCAGAGGCAGAGTGAAGTAGTTGTAACAGAAAACTACATACATAGCTCAGAAACCCTAAAATATTTACTAACTGGCCCTTTACAGAAAAAGTTTGCCCATCTCTGCTCTATACACAAGAGCAGGCTGTGCTTACTCTAGCTGGGTAGATGTATATCAAAAGGCAATGTCACAAACATTATGGGAAAAATTAGTCAAAGATTGCCTGTGGAAGCTAATAAGACACAAAAATAAATGATAATGAAATTACTTTGACTAACATTTTACTATTTGCACGTATATCATGACTGGAAGAATATTTTTACTTACCTTCAGATATGTTAATTTTTTTAAATTATGGTCTAAATAGATGTTATGCAACAAAGCCAAAACAGAACAAACCAAAACAATAACAAGGGCAATTGCATTTAATTGAGCATAATTGTATCATATATACTGCACAATGCATCGTTCCCTGTTCTGAGAGGCCACTTGCTTGTTTCACTTGGACCTATAAATATTTCCTATGGCACTAAATTTTGAGTTACGCAGTAACAAGAAAAGATTTTCTGATTTTTGCCATAAAAGTATTCAAATTTCTTTTCTACATTGAGAAAGTGTTTAAACAACAACAAAAATAATCCCCTTTTAAAGTAATTTTAAACTCAGGTAAAGAGCAAGATAAATTCAGGACAACATCATGAAATGAGTTTTAAATTATTTTTTTTAAAATACATTTAGATATGAAATTTACATTTTTAAAACATGAGAAGTCTCGAAAATTATTTCTGGAATCAATTCTTCAGGAGATATGGCTTTCACTAATATGTGTGGAAAGCCACGAAGAGCTCAACTTGATATTAAAACGACTCTACAGGGGCAGTTCATAAAGACAGGTTAAATCCCATTACAAACAAGTTCCAAAGGACTACCTATACATTTTATTTTATTGTTTAACACTACTTTAAATGAGATCAACTTGGTGGGACTTAGAAATTGTGATATACAGAAACTGACAGAAAATATGAATAAAGTATACCCTCTATTAGATACAATTTAGTTTGAAATGGTTCTACCTTAGATTTCATTCAAGAGGGTTTCATCCAAAACACAACAACAACAAAAAAACAAAATAAAAAAGCATTTATTAAGAAATCAGTAAGTCATCTGTCCTTATTAAATATCAGATAGACCTTATTTTAACATTGTTTTTGAATCATAAAGACCACACTGTCAAGAAACTCCAATGTATTTATTATAATGGGATTTAATCTGTACTAGCTCCAAGTCAAAAAAAGGTAATACTCCATTTAACAATCTTTTCTTAACGGAGCCCCTACCAGACTTTCTCTAGTTTGACCTGGAGAATGAAAGGTAGCAATGAATGCCCCCCACCTTCTAAATGAGAAGTATTCCTGAAAAGTCCACAGCAACAATCTGAAGTCCTCATCTACAATAGGGAAGTGCAGCATTGTGCTTTGGTATAATCCTCATTTAATATGTCGTATGGTCAACATTTTTACTTGTTAAGGCATGTTTATACTACAAATTGAAAGGAGACAGGAGAAGAGGAAATGTAAAAAAGAACATAGGATATTAAGCCGTCAATTCACCCTTTATAGGATACTGACTCAGTGGACACTTTCAGGGAGAGAATAATTTTATAAAAATAATATTAGTTTATCAGTATCTTTTGACAGAATATTATTTTCTAGCAAGCTCTGTAAAGAGTATAGATTAGTTTAACAAATAATTACAATATCCCATTTAGCTTTCATTTTGTGGACATTCCCCTTAAAATAGCATTTCCCAAAGTGTTTTTCTGGTCAACTAAGTTCTGGTTGTAAATTACCTTCAAGGATACGTATTAGCATATTAAGGACTCTGAGGAAGTCTTAAAGCAAAGAAACCTGTTCATCTTCATTAATTTAGCATTTCAAACTTAACTGACCACAGACCTACTGTTATTGTAACAATATCCTGCAGAACTGACCTTCCATTAAACACTGTTTGGAAAATGCTACTTTAAAGTAAAATCAGTTTTTACAAAATCAAGTCCTTAATTTTTGCTTTTGCAATTTTAACTAATAAAAAAAATACTCCCTTTTCTGTAAAGTTGATAATTCATATGACTTTACTACCTGCATTTCCTCTTTTGTGAAGCTGGCCGCCTCATCCCCCAATTCATGAAGATACATGCAGTCGGGTTTTGGACACTGCATATTCTTTAAGAAGTAACTGCAGTATTTTGTTGTACCTAGAGAGGCCTGCGGGAGGAAGAGGGGTAAAGGAAAAGAAGACTCAACGTGAACTGACAACACAATGAGAATCTCCATGTTTAGTGTTTTCACATCACCTAAAATGAGGCACCAACATGACAAAACAAAAAGTATGGCTGCAAATACTAGAGAACTATTATTAGCAGGATTTATTATAGATGAGGCTCATTTGGAAAAAAAAAAAAAAAAAAAAAAAAATCTGTCTACGGTATTCAAAACTTGAACACCCAAATCTTCCCTAGATATCAGGAGAGTAGATTTAAAAAAAAAATCTGTTCCATCTTATGAGTGATTAGACAAATTTCTTTTTCTAATTATGCCATCCTTCTTTCATTGAGAGTAAAGCTTTGTTTAGTGGGCCTCTTCACTCAAACCTGAATCAATGTCCATATTTTAAGGACAAAAGATCAGAACGTCTACATATTTCTGATGAAAATAATGGTTCTATTTTCACAAAATAAGATTTATGTAAAAATATGATATTTTAAAAGATTATCCCCTAAAAATGAATGTGTTTATTCCTAACTGGTAAAACAGGACCCTACAGAAATCAGCAGTAAACAAAGTAGCTATAATAAATGGTATGGAACCCTAAGGTAGACTCTTCAAATTAACTGTCAAATTTAATATATAAATGCTCGGTTCTCCTCTACTTACTATATTTTATCTCTTCTCCCTTAAAAAAAAAAAAAAAAAAAAAGAATCAAGAGCACTATATTACCTTAAGTGTTCTGCCATCTACTACCACATTGTTGACACACTGTATGGCTCTGAGAGCATCTTCTGACCGGATATAGGTTACATAAGCACTGGCACTTGGACCCTAAAGTGAAAAGATCCCATTCCACTGTTATTAGCCTCAAATTAAACAATACTAAAAAAAATTCTATTGCAACCTAGGGAATTCTAAAGACCTTGACGATTACTATTGCTAATGACAATAATTAGTAGTAATAGCAATTTTAATTAAATACTAAACTAGCTCATTTCAAAGTAATCATACTCAATGAATTTTATCTGATTTTAAGAACACTGTAATATATGTGAATAAAATATTACTTTGGCTTGGCATTTATTTTTTTAAAAAGTCATTTGACAGGCTCATCAAGGTTATAAAAAATTAAAATTTAGATTTAAAAACAAGATTTAAAGGCTGTGTCAAATTATGTTCTCAAAAATAAATGCAATCTGGAGAACTATCTGATAACATCAGCATAAGAAAGACACTATTAAGTTTTCAATATCTGAAAATATTACAGATTAGAAATCATTATCTAATCGTCATCTAATTATCATATTGCTTGATAACAGACTCACCTTCCCCTCCCCTTCACTCCATTACTAAATGTTTGTTTTACTATTTCCCTCTTATTATATCAACTGTAAGCACCAAAAAAATCCCCCACCCCACCAACAGAGGTCACTACACTGCTTAAGTCCTTGTCCCTCAAGCTTTCTAATCACAAAGAGCAAAGTTTCCTTTGGAACAGCTCAGGTCAAGCCCAGACCATAGGGAGGAAAGGCAAAATTCCCTAAAATTAGTTACCTGTGAGCCTGCATATGATGTGCTATTATTGATGACAACTTTATGTATTTTACCAAACTTCCCAAAATATTCTGGTCGTTTTAAAACCTATAAAAGAAGAAGAAATAAGGTATAAACTGTCCCCATTTTCAACAGCTTTATCCTTATAATGGAGACATTCATCACCCCTCTTCAGCAAAAGGAAAATAGTAATTTTTAATGTTTTCTAATAAATGTGACTACCTCCTAATTGCAGTATGTGTAACTAACCTACAGGAAATCAAAAGAGTCCAAAAGCTATTCTTTTCTTGACCCACTGAATAGAAACTGAGACTCACTAAGTTTGGTATTATCTACTATGTTCTAATAACTGTTCCAATAATCTATGGGATCTTACCTGTACAGTATTCTTAAACACAAAACAGATCAACGATCTTAACTACATTCCCATTAAGAGATGATCCTTATAAAAAAGCAATTCTTCAAAAACAATGGCCAAAATTATGTATTAAAGGTAGAGATAAAATTGAAAGAACAGAGACAGTCTATTCATAAATCTACTGTATATAAAATTTGATATATATTAAAACATTATTTATAAATTACAAATTTCAAATAACAGAGTGTCCACTCAACCCTCTATGCTTTATGATTTATCACTGTGCATATAGTTTCCTGTGTCAATCAATTTTATCATTTCTCATCTGTCCCATGAGGTTTGTTTCCTACTTTTCCTGGTATGTAACATTTGGGAAACAAATTTATACATTTCTTTATTATCTGGTTACTTCTTAGAGGTTATTTCCCCTATGTACCTCATCTGCTTTACTTTGTGAACATTATATGCATTCTTTCAGCTTCTCCTACAAACTTAACCTTGGCTAATTTGACCTGTAAGTAGCTTGATAAAAACACATCTCCCATAATTTGCAACTACCTCAAAATTCTGTTTTCCTAGAATGTATCTTTAGACCTACTGCTCCTATAATCTCTCCAAATAGCAAGCTCTCTCCAAATGAAAGCTTTCTGCATGTACCTATTCATGTGTGTATAAAGTATTTCTTTCCATTCATATTTTATAATATTCTTATATACTTATAATTTAGCTATTATGTTCTGCATTTGATAGAATCAAAGCTTCATGAATAAATCTATGGCTGGTATATCATTAATTCTTAGTCTTCCACCTAATTAATAGTAATTAATCTTACCATATTTTATTTTAGGTGCTTGTAAGTATAAGGTTGTTATGTTTGCTGCAGCCAATTCTAATGGATTAGAAGGTGAGGTGATTACACTGGGTTTCAATCTTTTTTCCACCCAAATCTCCTGAGGGATATGATAGTAATAGTAGCTAGCACAATGACCCTTAGGTTATTTGTAGCAAAGTCTCAGGTTGATAAAGAGAGAAGAGCAGAAGAGCAGAGCTTGAAAAAGCTTTCTGGAACTGCATTCAATATTCCAGCTGGATGCATACCAACTCAGCAACCAGCCTCATAGCTAAGACATCTGCTCTAAAGAGTTCAGGCTGGTCACAGGTTGTCTTGCATCGGCATCATAAGTTTATGGCGGTAGTTCTCAAGAGGGCAGTCTGGAAATTTGTGAAAGCTTTTATTGGGGGAGACTGTTAAAGTGAATGGGAGAGACTACTGGTGTTCAGTGGATAGGGACCAGAGATGTCTTACAAGGCTGAGGCTAGCCCCATACAACATAGAATGTCCTGCTCAATTTCTAAATGTCCTACAAGACAGGCATGAAATTGTTTATAATTGAGCCAGAAACAAATTCCATATTATACATAATTACAAAGTTTTTTCCGAGTTGTAACATACATTGAGTTTCTAGGAAAACAAATAACATGTAATCAGGGGATGACTACACATGCTTCGTTTAAAATTTTACTAAGAACTATCTGAGAAAAATTACATTATTGATGTTCCATGGCACCTGAGTAGCCAATGCATACACCTGTAACAATCTGCATTTGTAGTTGTCACAGTCCATGATTTTCCAAATAGATACAACTAGCTTACTTCGTTATTACATAGGACAAAATAGTACGTTAAGAGCCTCAATATGTAAAGAAATCCTTTGACAATCTCGTTAAAATTCAGATTCAGATCCAGTAGATCTGAGTCAGGGTCAAAGAGTTTGCCTAATAAGTTCTCCGGTGAGGCCAGGTGCAGTGGCTCACGACTGTAATCCCAGCACTTTGGGAGGCCGAGGTGGGCGGATCACAAGGTCAGGAGTTCTGTCAGGAGTTTGGTCAGCCTGACCAATATGATGAAACCCTGTCTCTACTAAAAATACAAAAATTAGTCGGGCGTAGTGACAGGTGCCTGTAATCCCAGCTACTTGGGAGGCTGAGGCAGGAGAATCACTTGAGGCAGAGGTTACAGTGAGCCGAGATCACGCCACTGCCCTCCAGTCTGGGCAACAGAGGGAGACTCCATCTCAAAATAAATAAATAAATAAATCAATTAATTAATTAAAAAGATTTTTCCTGATTGTATTTTTGCTATACATTAAAAAAAAAAAAAAAAAAAGTTATCTGGTGATATTAATGTTACTGGCCCAGAGGCCACATCTTGAATAGCACGGTTCTAGAGTAGAAGTGTCCAAGGATTTATATGTACAAATAGTCTTTTTATAATTACTTTCCTTTTATTCCTCCTTTATATATACTTTTTCAAATTACGTGTGTAGACAAATTATATTATCAAGAAGTCATTTCATGAAAGTCAAAGGGTGTTAACATTAGTTTTTAAAAAGTAGACACTCAAGTCTGATAAGGCTGAAGGCCAATGGTTTATGGAAACGGTTTCTAGCCAATATTTGGGTGTTAACACCTTTGTAACAATATGAAATTGGTATGTAATTATATTTACACTGCAGCCAGAATGGTACTGTCAAAGCACAAATCTAGCCATGTCACTGTTCTTAAGAACATTCAAAAGCTTTCCACTGCCTTTAGGATAAAGTGCAAACTCCTCAGCATGGTTAGAAAGCCCTTCATGATTCATTACCACTTACCTTACCAACCTTATCTCTGACCGCTGCATTCTAATCTTCCAGCCAAACAAATCACTTGCAGATTGAGGTCTTTCTCATCCAGAAGCACTTGTACAGTTCCTGTGCCAGAAGCACTTTACCCCAAAGACAGCAGAGGGGTATACAGCTCCCTCGCAAGGTTGAATGCTATCCCTTGTGCCTTCACAGCACACAAAACTTCTCATACTGTTACTTTTGTAAAAAGGAAGGTACTACTTACTATCTACTACTGCTTGATTATCAGTATATGCTCAGTGTCTTAATGCCTGCCATATTGTAGGTACTCAATAAACACTTAATGAAAACCTAAACTATCTTAGCATTAAACAAAAAAAATTACATGGATTTGTAATACTGGTGGCCCTCAAAGTATTAGCAAATGGCAAGTGGTTGATAAGAAATACAATGCCCAGGCAAGGGAAAAACAATGAATTTAAACTTTGCATATTAACTTGGATACTCTAGATTCTGCCTAAACAAATAGCAAAATAGTATTCTAGTGAACAAGGGTATGGAAAGTAGACAAAGCACCCTGTACATTGGCATATTATCTATACACTCAATGTCATATATGTACTTCACAGTGGGCCAGTTTCCCTACTAACATAAAAAATAAAAGGCCATTGGATGGAATTATAAATGCCCAAGGGCATGCCTAGTGACCAAAATGTCTACACTCCTTGGGAAAACAGTCAAGTATTCATAGACACTACAGAGAAAAAAACAAAAACTTGGTAATCAGATGGATGAATGAGTGAATAAATGAATGAATGGATGAACAAAAGGGCAATCATCAACAAAGAATACACTGTAATAGGAACTGTAGGATCATAGGCAAGTCACTCAAATTCCTTTTGCCTGAGTTTCTTATTTGTAAAATGAAACGTGGTGTCTTTAAAGTCATATAGTTCATTAAACAGGCTGCTCTTCTGGGTTACCACATACACCCAGGACTCTCTTCTTTATGCACTGCCTAGATAACACCTATTAATTCTTCAAGCTGACCCTAATTATCCTCTCTCAGAGAAGCTTTCCATCAATCTCCACACTAGCTAAATATTCTAATACATGCTCCCACAAAGCTGTGTGCTTTCCTTTTATAAATACTCAGCACACATGTAAGCACTTAAATTCTGTCTTTCTTACCAGTCTGTAAGCTTGTGTCTGGCTTGCCACCTACTTCCCCCCAACCCCATCCTACCCCCCAGCCCCTCCCAAGGCACCCCCCATCCCATCAAAGTACCTAGCAAATGGTAGGCATTCAAGAATTAATTTGCAGAATGAATGAAATAGGTCCTCACAAATCTAAAATTTTAGGACTTAGAAGGTGATCATCATTACTTCTAATCTAATCGTTGGCTCTAATTACCTCGTCTTCTAAGATCATTTGTTTTACTATTGACCAACAAATGAATACATTTGACAATCAATCTTGGTTTGAAGTTTTCTGGTATGCAAAAATTATTTTCAAAATAAGCTTTAATTGTTCCTAAACTCTCCGATTCTGTTAATCAGAATTAGGTCAAATATCAAATTGTTCATCATCCAAAGACAATTAAATTACAAGGATCCTTCTTTGACTTAAAAGTGACGCTAACAATTTGAACCTTCTTTTGAGTTTCCTAGTAAAGCCAACTTTTAAGTTTTCCAAATACTAAAAAGATTAAAAAGATAAATTAAAAGAATTTTAAAAGATATTATTTAGAAGTGGTACTATTTAATAAAAAGCAAAACACTGTCTCTGGTCTTCCTGGACTTTCAAGAGAAATAAAGGAAAGCAACTATTTGTTTTATTTAAGAAAATCCAATGCCCTCTCACCAAAAAAGAATTATTTCAAATATATAAAACTGGTAGAGCATATTTTTACGTATACTTATAGACTCATGATAAAGTACTCTCTCTCAGTGGTCACCACTTAGATTCTCAGTATAACACTTCAGATAAATCTTACTAGAGTTATTTGAAATGGAAATAAGAAATCTCTTTTAGTAAATCAAAAACTCTTATAGGATCAAGCATGGTGGCTCACACCTGTACTCTCAGCACTTTGGGAGGCCGAGGCAGGTGGATCACTTGAGGTCAGGAGTTTGAGACCAGCCTGATCAACATGGTGAAACCCCATCTCTACTGGAAAAAAAAAAAAAATTAGCCGAGCATGGTGGCACATGCCTGTAATCCCAGTTCCTGGGGTGGTGGAGGCAGGAGAATCTCTTGAACCCAGGTGGTGAAGGCTGCAGTAAGTCAAGATCGTGACACTGCACTTCAGCCTGGGCAACAGAGACTGTCTCAAAAACAAACAAACAAACAAACAAAAAAGACCTCTTATAAATCACATACCCAAAAAGAAGGGGTAGGAAAACTTATAATCCAAAAATCACATTCAGTCAATGCCTTAATTTCATCCAAATTCTGGATGCTATTTCATATGCCTCCCAGTATTACAGCTGTTCAGATCCAAGATGCATTAATAAAAACAGCAACATCCATATTCAAGAGCTCTCAAATCAAGATAAAAGCTTCATTCATTTACTGGAATTGCAGTTTCAGAAAGGCAAAAGCAGATTCTCGGTGGGGGGCAGTGGCTCATGCCTGTAATCCCAGCACTTTGGGAGGCCAAGGCAGGCAGATTGCTTGAACTCAGGAGTTCAAGACCAGCCTGGGCAACATGACAAAACCCCGTCTCTACAAAAAATACAAAAATTAGCCAGATGTGATGGCATATACCTGTAGACCCAGCTACTTGTGGGGCTGAGGCACAAGAATCACTTAAACCCAGGAGGTTGAGGCTGCAGTGAGCCATGATCATATCACTGCACTCCAGCCTGGGTGACAAAGTGAGATAGTGTCGCCACCANAAAAAAAAAAAAAAAAAAAGTAGATTCTAATCAGTAAGATTAGTAGTAGTAAACAGAGACATAAATGTCCACTGGTCACTGGTTAGAAGAGTATACAGAAATGCCTTGTGGTTAGAAAAAAAGAAGAGTTAAAAGACAGAGATAGGAGGATTAGTGCAAAGTTGAGGTGTCATTCAAGGAAACGATCAAAGGTGAGGTAGGATTCTGTCTGCCTGGGGAATAACCACTACCTTACTCTAAAAAAAGGGAGAACTGGCTGCTGAAGCTGAGTCATAGACCTAAAATGAGCTCTCTGCTGAACATTTCTTACTGAAGAAGACTTTTTCTGTATAAACTCTAGACCACTCCTCCGGATTTCAAAAGAACTTGGTCTGCTGAGTATCATGTAACTACTGACTGCCAGCATCCCTGGACCTAGGTCCTAGTAATTCTTGAGTTGCCTCCATGTTTAATGTCCATGACAGATCCTTCTTACTAATGTCCCTGACTTTCGCAGGGTCAAAATCATTTCATATTGATTTTGAAGCCCTGTATAATCACAACACATATAAGCTCATCGTCAATAAAGATTCATTTTTTAAAATTAATTTTTACAAAAACAGGCTTTATACTCCTTAAAGGTCCTCCTCCTTTGGCCTTTAACATGCTCAGTCAAGTCCAAAGGTTCCTACCTCTGTAAGCATGTTCATTACACTCTTTCCTCTGATTGGTACTATGCCAAACATTACTTTACACTCTTCTCAAGGATCTTTTGGAAGATTCCCCCAAAACAGCTCTCTCCTACCAAGTAAACATTCTGTCTGTCAATTAGCTTATATTTGCCTTCTCAACAATCTAGTCAGTATCTCATGGTATATCAGAAACTAAAAATTAGCAGATGCATATCCAAGGGCCTCAGGAAAGTGTGAGTTCAACATTAATAAAGCTTGTGATGGAAGGAGAGAAAAAAGAGGTACTAAGCAAGTTAAGCGCTCTCCTCCCGCTGAAGGAATGACAAAGAAATTGGTCCTTTATTTCACATTACCAAATTTTCCCTCTTCCCACTAACTGGTTTAAGTGAGTAAGTAAGGAATGATGACACAGTATAGCAACGATTTTGAAAAACCAAGAATTACTACTTGGGCAGAATTTTTAAAATCCAGGTTACTAAAATCTCTAGTGGGTTCAAGTAACTGCATCTCCACTGTTGGTCCTTATATAGACACAGAAAAGAGGAACGAACCAGAGTATTCATGTCACGCGTTAGCCTAAACAGCAAAATAGAATCATTATCCAAGTTTCACAGGCTGTTAGCATGTAAAAAATCTAGTTCAACTCCTTAGTTTTACAACTGAACAAACTGAAGCCAAGAAACACTAAGACACTTGCCTAAGATCACAACTGGTCATTGGTTTCTTAGCAATTATTAAAAAGTAACTTACTATTTTCTCCTTCAAGATATGTGTTCAGAGGAATCACACAATTGAGCAGGGTCAACTATTATTTCCAAATAAGACAAGCAAACACAAAAAATATCAAGATGACAAAGAAAACAAGAGGACTTACCTCTGGGTCTGCTAGGCGCTGAGACAAACCTACAACAAAGACGAGGTTTTTTTGTACGACACGTACACTTGCCAAATGTTTGCGATTTTCTGATATTTTCTGTTTTCTCTCATTTTGTTTCTGTTTTTTCTCATTCTTTATCCTTTGCAGTTCTTCCTGGGAGAGTGGTTTATAAACTGCTGGGTCTTCTGGATATGGCTTTAAGCATGAAACAAACATAAGAAGTTGGCATTAAATTAAAAAAATTAAAAAACTGCATAAGCAATTATCTGATTCTGGGTGGTGGGCATGTGGTTATTTGTTACATTTTCCCTTTATCAATGTTTTAGTTGCTTAAGATTTTTTCTTATTTAATTTTTTTTGGAGGTTAGCACAGACCACTTTTAGTGCTAAAACTTAACATCTATGGTTTAAAAGCAAAACAACAACAAACCAATCGTGACATTCCCCGCAGTATCTAACACAGTTTATGGGAAGATTCAGCTTCTAAGGTGCTATGTAAGAGGGAAAGAGGCCAGGCGCAGTGGCTCATGCCTGTAATCCCAACACTTTGGGAGGCCAAGGTGGGTGGATCACGAGGTCATGAGAGCAAGACCATCCTGGCCAACATAGTAAAACCCTGTCTCTACTAAAAATACAAAAATTAGCTGGGCATTGTGGCAGGCGCCTGTAGTTCCAGCTACTAGGGAGGCTGAGGCAGGAGAATTGCTTGAACAAGGGAGGTGTACGTTGCAGTGAGCCAAGATCGCACTACTGCACTCCAGCCTGGGCAATAGTCAGACGTCTCC